AGGAGCAACCTCAAGCTTCTCAAGGGCGAGACCCTTACGCAGAAGCTTAAGTAGACCCTCTTGTTCGAGGAGGAGAGGGACCTGGTAGATTGTGTCCATGTTGCGGACGCCAATGACCTGCTCATCTTCGACTTGGCAGCTTCGGGCGATCTTTGTAATGGTAGCGACGTCGAGTTCTCGCTCGCAGCGGCAGGCAATCTGGAGACGTTAGGCGCGGACTGGTATGGATCGCGAGGAACATACCACATCGGGGATCAAACCGGCGCTTCGAACTTGTCGGATGGCGTGCTGAGTAGGCTTTGTCTTCTCCTCTCCATTGATGATAGGGACGTAGGAAACGCTGATGCTGAGGAAGTTGTCGCGGCCGAGTCTGTGTCGCAATTGCTTTACAGCTGTCAGTATTGAGCTTCGAGATCGGTCTGGATTTCATACCGAAAGGGCTTCAACGAAAGGACCGGATTCGAGATCGCCAATTGTTCCGCCCTATCGCTAAGTCAGTCGCCATGCCAAGCCATCGGTAATCGGTAGGAGATCGTACAAGCTCGACTATGGTGGGTTAGCGAATGTCGCGTAAGATCTGGCTCATGGACAACGTACTGATGCAAACATCTGGCGATTCACCAGAAGCGTCAACTGGAATCTTGGCAACGCGCTCAATCCAGTTCTGAATGGCATCTGTGATGTGGGGAACGACCTCGAATGCTGTTAGTCGGATCTACAAGATGGTAGAGCTGCGCAATGTACCTGAACAGCTACGAAATCGTTAGCATCCGCATAAAACAACAACCTCAAACGTAACACATACTCTTTCCCAAGTAGTCTCCACGTCGCTCCTTCTCCTATACATCAATTGTATTAGTGGTTGCGGATCGCGTATCGAATATTCGTGAAGATTCGTACAATAACCTGCTGGTAGATCTTGCCAGTGGTGATGTTGCTGTCACGGCTCAATTGGATGCCGAGGTATCTGGAGTACTATAAGTCCCTGGTCGAGCTTCGGTCAAGTCTTGTTGTCAAAGAACATACCGCTCATAGTTTCCAAGATCGAGATCGGTCTGAGGGGTCAGCGCAAAGTTTTTCGTTGGTGAATATTGAGCGTACCTCGCCGCCATCGTCGAGAACGAAGCACTCGCCGTGCCTGGGATGTGTCAAAGGAAGAAAGGGCCATGGGATTGAGTCGCAACATACTCGAGAGGGTTTAGAAGACCAGCGTCGGTGTTGATATAAGGATCGGTCTAGTCGAGGGTTAGAATCGTCGGTGAGGGAGGGTTTCGTCGGTGGGGTGTACTTTGATCGCCTGGAAACGTTAGTCAAAGCTCGTTTGGTGACCATGGTTGTCGTATCGTACCGTGACTCGAAGACCGAGAGTCTTGAGCAGAAGACCAGCGCTACTGGCTAACATTGGTGTCAGTCGTTGAGAAGATCAGCACAGCTCATCAATTGCCATACCGATAATGCCTGTGATTCACGAATTAGCACGCCCTTGGAAAGAATGCGACGGCGATAAGCTTACCTTTGCCGACACCAGAGATAACTCCGCCGCTCACAAGAACAACCTTCATGATGCCGTTTGTTCTTTCAATTGTTCGTTTATATAGAGAATAGAAACTGCTAGTATTGCAGGGCGGAGTTGCAGGGAGTTTTGTACGGCGCGTTCGCAAAAACTTCGATCAACGAAAAGAAAGTTTCGGCGGTGGGGTACGATTTCTGCCACGCCCTGTGAAGCTCAGAACGTTGACCGCTTTCCAAATGCGGCTTGGAGATGACTCTGTGCGTCACGCCGTGGATTCATCCTGGTTGAGCCCCACCTGGCAGCCAGTGAACTGGTTCAACTGAAACCATTCAGATATGGATGTGTTAGCAGCCTAAAGGTTGACCTTGTGGCCAGCAATCAACTACGTAGAAGACATTTAGAAGATAGGGGGGAGATAGAAAGTATCACATGTCATAGTAAAAGAGCCCAGAGCTTGCGTTGGGAAGAAGTGATGATCACAGTCAGGTACTGTTCCCCGCTGTATCTTGTGTGAACGCAGTTATAAAAGCACCCCAGCTGAATTCCGACGATAGAAACTATACATCGTGCAACAAGCTCGAATTGACATGAAGGAATGCTACAGGATGAGTTCAATTTTTCCAGATAACAGGCTCCCCTCACATCAACTGCTATACGAGTAGAGAGCTCCCAACCGAGGCCAATTGCTTGGTGTATCTCTTGCTACAGGTTAGCTAGCTAGGTAGCAATGGTGATTGTAAGGATCGCCAATGGCGGGGTAGTTTCACGATCCATTCATTACCAATTGACCTCGGAAGCAACGTACAATTGCGTTGTTCAGCGGCACTTCACATAAGCTCAGTTTTTCTATGTAATATTTCCCCGCGTGCTTGGTTGGATGTACCACACTCAGGATGATAACATCACGGATTTCGCACCATGTTCGTTCTACGACAAACATTCTCAGGACGGCGAAATGCTTCTCCACGTCCTCAGCCCGTACAAGTCCATATGATAGAACAATACGGAACCTCAAGATAACAGACCAGACTCGAGTTATATACCAAGGTATGGCATGTGTCATACTTTTTTGGGTATATAGAAGGGGTTGACTAATTACTGGACGCCAATCGAGTAGGCTTCACAGGCCCAGCGGTGCGTACGCGACTCGACTCAATCCCACGCGTCACGAAGCTATTCAAGGACTGACTTCCCACGACGTAGGCAACCATAAATGCAAAAGATACGATAAGCTATGGAACAAATGTTGTCGGAGGAGTCTCTCCAGACAAAGGTGGCCGGCCACACCTTGGCCTACCAGTCTTCAACACCGTCAAAGAGGTGAATCACTAGCTCTCTCAATTTCCCAATCTAATGGCTGTCCCAGGCGATGAAGGAAGTCAAACCAGACGTCAGCGCCGTCTTTGTCCCCGCGAAATTCGCAGCCGCAGCCATTCTCGAGGCCATTGAAGCAGAGGTTCCTCTCGTTGTCTCAGTCGCAGAGCATGTACCTGTTCACGATATGCTTCGGGTTCATGAGGTCTTGAGAACACAGTCCAAGACCCGGCTGGTAGGTCCCAATTGCCCTGGCATCATCTCCCCGAACCAGTGTCGTGTAGGCATAATGCCCTACAAGCAGTATACTCGCGGCTGTGTTGGTATAGTGTCCAAGTCAGGTACTTTGAGCTACGAAGCTGTCGGGTCTACCTCACAGGTTGGCTTGGGACAGAGTCTCGTTGTAGGAATGGGAGGCGATATGTTACCAGGTAAGTCTTCATCGCGCGAGTTGACATGCCATTAACACGGGACAGGCACGACCCTAGCAGATGGACTGAAGCTCTTCTTCGATCATGACGAAACCAAGGGAATCATCGTGATTGGTGAGATTGGAGGTGAAGCAGAGCTTGAAGCCGCGGAGCTCATTCGAGAACATCGGCGCACGTCCCCAAGACCCAAACCTGTCATAGCAATGGTAGCAGGGCGCACGGCACCTGAAGGAAAGGCTATGGGACATGCCGGTGCGATCTGGAGACATGGAGATGTTACTGCGGAGGCCAAGACTAAAGCCCTCGAAGATGCGGGGGCTATCATCGTGCCGCACCCCGGAGTTATGGGCGAAAGGATGAAGGAGTTGCTTGGGATGTAACGTATTGCCTCACAAGGTGAGCGAGCTCCAGCGATAGAACTCTGTATTGAAGCATAGAGTGCACTTAGTGGTATATAGCAATAATAATTAAGCACCCACAAAATAGTATCGCTTATCCGTATCCTGCATCGTACCATTTACCGAGACCATCAAGCCAAAGGTATACCCAACCCTTTATCCAGTCCAATACCAAAACACCAAAAGGAAGCACCAATATTACTTACTCCTTCTTTCCACCCAAGAGTCCACCAACGGTGTTACCAACGCCCTTTCCAACATCTTGTAGTCCTTGGGCAGCACCCTGTCCACCACCGACAACAGCGTTCGCTGTGCTGTTCATGGCTCCAGAGCCTGGAACATCCTTGTTGACGTATCCGCCGTTCTCATCACGGCCTTGTCGCTCAGCGCGGTTCACGCCCTCTTTTGATGCGAGGTCACCGACCGGTTGGAGAAGTCCTCCTTGGCCGACTTGACCAGCTGCGAGATTATGGACGCCGTCTTGGAGGGTGTCGACTTGTTCGATGCCAGTTACTTTGGTCCTGTCGAGGTTTTCTATCGTGGTGTTAAAAGGGAGAGAACGGAATGGGATAGGGAAGTGTAGAGATCTTACGCTTGGCAGCATAGCTTGTCTTGTTATCCTTGGTGAACCAACGAAGATACATGTCCTCCATCCAAGGAACCCACTTCTCGTACTGCTCGTTATAGGTAGCCTTGGTCCACTCCATTGTGAAGAATATCAAACAAAAATTATGTGGAATCTGCTGTATCGTTTATCGTCTGGTTTATCTTTGTCTCTCAGGCTGGAAGACCGTGCTGAAGACACGACTTTATACACATTGCGCGTCTTGCTACGTCATCCACTTTGCAAGGATCTGAAACGACGCAAGGCAAATCTCATAGGCTGTTTCATTTCTTGGTGGTGGTTGACCAAGACGCATTGTGATGCCATGCTGAGTCTTTTGGGTGTGGCGCGTGTCGCTCTAAAAACCGGTTCTCGTGGCGCCTCGACGTCATTTGGTGGGAGGACGACAGGGATGAGCCACGATGGTGTTTATTCTACGGTCCACCAATCAAAGAGGAAGAGAGCGAGATACTTCTTTTTGGGTGAGAGACCAGGAGTCACTGAAAATGAAGTTGATTGAAATGAATATCTCCATTCTTAGAAGCCAGGATACCTGCACTTCGCCACGAAATTAAGAAGACTACCCTCAGGAAGAAAGAAAATACCGGACCTTAACATAGGGTGTTAAAATAAACTTAGTAAAAGATATCCTCAATTTATGTATATTTACCTGAGCCTTTTTGTCATTTAGGATGAAGTTGATTAATTTCTACTAGTCCTGAATATACCTTATATTGTGATCAATGCTGATGGACGTCTGTTGCAAGTCGGTTTTCGCCATATGTCGCACGGTCAGTCCAGTCTGCCAATCCCATTAACATATCCAGATCCGTCTTCCGCAACGATAGAGCTACCGTCATTTCATCCTCCTTCCTTCGGGGCATGAAATACACAAGACCCTCTGATGCAGGCCGATGATATGGAACCCTAATACTCCGGATATTCCAGGAGTTTGATAGGTTAAAATCCGAGCTCCTGCTCTCAATTTCGGCCCAGGAGACTATAGCAACATCTTGCTCAGGGTTGAAAATTGCGTCTGAAATAAAAGCCGGGTTGCTGATTACTGTGCCCGTATTGAACATGAAATGTTCCACATCCCGACTGAGTGCGGGTGGAGATGAGGCCTTGTATAAGTCACTGGCTATTGTCTCGACACTCATAGTGCTCGGGTTGGTATAGCTATTGCATGTCATGTGTTGAAGTGCCCCAAGATGTTCCGCCTCTGCTTTTTGTGTTCGGGCTCCACGTGCATCGACCGTACGAAAGCATCTCGCTGTCCACCCCGAGGTGAATCGGCGGTCCCTTGCACAGCATATGTTTCGGAAAACAAAAGCGGAAAAAGCCTGATCAATATCCATATCCAAGAAGGATTCTAAGGGGCTGTCATAAGCCAAGGCCAAGTCCTCGATGTATTGCACAGCCTTTCGATCAAAAGTGAACAGAGCCCAATCAATACCTTTTGCCTCATACGATGGGCTTTGGGTTGACTGCGGATCCGGCACAAATTTGATGGGGATTCTGTCATACCTTAGGCTCTTCTTGTCATTGTTAAAAAACGCCGCGTTTTTATGTGTTGACTCAACAATATCCGAGGATGGAAGTTTTTTCTCACGACAGGCTTCAGCCAATACTCGAACCATCATAATTAGGCCTGCTCTGTCGACGACTTTGCTGCTCATACTGATGGTGAGGATATCAACGCCTAGTTCGCGGGTGAATTTTAACTCCATCACAGGAGAGGGCTTCGAGTCCGCCAAAGGCTCCTGTATGGGGACATGACTCTCGTTGATCCAATGCATGGGAAATTTCTCTCCTCTTCTACGTCCGAAATCCGTTGAGGAGGTCTTTAGAAGATTCTCGACTTGCAAGCAAGGCACCACTCGAAAAGGGATGATCTTGTATTTATTGGCTCCTTGATCCGTGCATTCTTCATGTTGGACTTGGCCGGCGACCCAGGGAAATTCTTCCGAAAGGAGTAACAGGCCCTCGTGTATGCGGGAAATAAGCTTGGAGTATAAATTGTTGGTTTTGGAGTAGTAGACCAAGCAGAGGCTGTAATACTCTCCGACATCGACTCTGTTAGTCAAGGGGTTGATTTCGACGTCTAGATCCATCATTTTGTATTGAAAGTTTGCTGGTACCTGTGCTGTGTTGATGCTGAGTTTCTATTTGTGAGAGGAGTCCTGAGCTCATGATATTGGCGAAGGAGAGTGAAAGGAGGGAAGGAACACATACAGCTTCTCATGGCAACAGCAATGCAGTCTTTAAAGCAAGTGCAGATCTATCAGACTACAGGTAGGAGTGAAAGATGGGGTGGTGGCTTCATACTGCCGTTCTAAATGGTGGTCTACGTGGGGAGGAAAGAAAACTTAGGATCTTGATCCTAAATAATAAAAAGACTTGAATAATTTCATATAAATCTATGAGATCTTTTAAGTCTTTTTGTCAATTAGGATCAAGGTTCTAAGCTTTAGATATCTTTTGCTGAGTTTATTATAACACCCTAAATCAAGGTCCGGTATTTTCTTGCTTCCTGAGGGGGGCGCACACACTGCCACCCTCAAACCATTTCTTCTTCACTACAAGCTGCGACTGAGCACGGCCAAGTCACGCTGTCAAGGGACTGTCGATCCAGTAACTTGGTATTTATTTAGTGATTATTAATTTTGCTATAAACTTGTAATGTACCTGTTGAGTTTCCAAGCATCTCAACCAAATCAAGGAATGTTTTAGTAAATCAGGTTCTGTTCCATCAGCCCAGCAGGGTCCGTAGATCACTGCCAAGTTTCATGTGATACCAACACATCCAATCAGCAGCACCAACATAAAAGAGTGACACACTCCTACCCGCTGGTTCGCTCATTCTTACCGGCGTGAGCCTCAGTATCAATGGTAGTCTCAGGGTTATTGGCGTAGTCATCCTCACCACTGAGCTCCTCAAGAGTCTTACGGGCAGTCTCAGGGATAAGAAGAGTGGTGAAGATACCGAGAAGCATGAAAAGAGCATAGATCTCAAGGACGTGGTCCATCCAGGGGGCCTCGTTCTTGTCGGTGGCACCGTGGGTGCGGAGGATGGAGATGGCACCCTGGCCAATGATGGAACCGATCTTTCCTGAGGCAGCGGAGATACCGTGGGAGGTAGATCGGTAGCGGGTAGGGAAGACCTCACCGGGGACGATGAAGGTGGTGGTGTTGGGGCCTGGAGTTGTTAGTTACGGTATTACGTGGAAGGAATATAGACATACCGAAGTTGAAGAAGAACTGGGCAAGGACGTAGATGGCGAGGAGACCGTTGGAGGAGATATGGTTGTAAGCGAAACCCATGACCTAAACACGTTAATCTTGTAAATCACCAACCACGACAACAACTTACAATGAAGAGAATAGTCAGGATGATGAAACCACCAAGCTGAATAGTCTTTCGTCCAAGGGTATCAATAGTAGCAACCGAGACCCAGTAGCCAGGAACAGCACCAGCCAAGACAATAATGATGTTACCAACAGCAGTGTTGTGAAGGTACTCGTACATGTTGTTGGCATCCTTGGTAGAGTAGCCAATAACCTTGAGGATAGTACCGTTGTTCAAGCTGAGACCATAAAAGGCCACATCAAGACAGAACCATGAACCAGCGGTACCGATGAGAATGGACAGGTTCTTCCACTTGCTGTAGTGCTGGCAGAAGTCGCTCCAGCTGGCCTTGGGGACCTGGAGGTTGGACTTGGCGCTGGCGTGGACCTGAGCACGGGCGACCTCGTCGGTGTCACCCTCACGCTTGCCATTAATGTAGGCCTTGACGTCCTCATCGGCTTGCTCAACGTCACGGGCGACGTCGAAGGTGTAACGGGGAGTCTCAGGGATGGTGAGACGGTCTATACCAGTGTCACTATGTGTTGCAAGGCAGGGGTGTAAGCGACTTACAGTAGAGGGCAATGCAAGCAGGGACGGCACCGAAACCGACGAGGGTACGCCACATCTTGTCAACGGCGACCTGGCAGTCTCCAGTGCAGTGCTTGGTATCAGGGGCACCCTCGAGAGAAGACTTGAAGCCGAGGGTGAGGAACATCATGACGAGAGCGGCGACGAGCTGGCCAATACCTTGCATGGCAAAGACAGCAGCCATCATGGCACCACGCCACTTGGTGGTAGCAAACCTGTGATGTTAGTTGACCTGGACTTGATCTCCTTTAACGCAAATGAACTTACTCGGAGGTAATGATTGAAGACAGAGGATAGTCACCACCAATACCCACGCCCATAACTACACGCCAAAAGATGATGAGGCCAACAAGCGAGGTGGAGGGCGAACCAGCAGTCAGGGCCTGAGCAAGAGTCGCGAAGATGATGACAATAAGCTCCAGACCATACATCCTCTTACGACCGACAATATCGGCCAGCATACCAAATCCAAGCTGTCCAATAACAGTACCAGCAGAAGTCGAAAGCTTGATGGCGTTGTCAGAGCTAGTAGCAAGCTTTCCCTTGCCAGGGTAGTACACAATGCCCAGCATGATGGTTAACATGGACACGCAGAAGATGTCGTAGGAGTCAGTGAAGAAACCAACACCAGCGACGATACAGGCGCGGACATGGTACCAGCCGAAGGGGGCCTTGTCGATCTCGGCGAGGGCAAGACGACGACGCTCATTGGGGTCGGCGATGTGAGCAAAGTCGTTGTGGAAGTTGTGGAAGGCATTGTTGCCGCCGCTTGTCTTGGCGACGGGACCAGGAGTGGCAGCCATTTTAGGAAGAATTATTTTAATAAAGAACGATATGAAGAATAGAACTGGTCTTGAATTTCGTGTACTGTACGTACGTGTACTTGGAAAGGGTACCCAGCGGCACGTTCACAAGTGAAATTATCCTTGCAGCCAAGAACAAGCCAAGAGATCTAGAAAGGAACAGAACGATCTGATATATATAAACCGACCTCGATATTAATCCCCCATAGTTCTCTCTTACAAAAATCCCATCAAGAGCCGTCCGAACCGAGACGCACCAGTCAAATTTTGTTTCTCGAGGACATGCTCTTCTAGAACTCGACATGCTATCTCCTGAGTCTCCATGCTCGGTATAGGATGAAGCACACGACAGTTATAAGTGAGGACGAATAGACGTCGAGCTCGGTTCCCACGTGCATTCAAGCGTTGAGATTGCTTGGCTAGGAGCGTTCCAGGGTCTCGGGACACGGCACGGAATTAGCGTGGCTCCGACCCGCCTTGGCATCAAGAGTGACAGATTGAGGTGCATCTGGACTTGAATGGAGACACCGAGAGAGTAAGCTTGTCATTAAGGACTAAGCTTGTTGGTGGTAAAGTTTTGCTGCATTGGGACACCGAAGGCGTTTGGAGTCTTCAATATTTCGGGTATCACGGCTTCAGCTGGAGAGAAGCGTCGATTGTGTTGCCGCTTTAATCCCGCGGGCCAAGACTTTTGCGACTTGGAGAGCACGTGTCTTCCAACGACTCTTCTAAGTCTGGGTCATCGAATTCTGCCTCTTTCTTTTCTCTTGTGACCTATCTCTTCTTTCTCGGGCCGTCGCTGTCGAGGGTGTTGTTGCATTCGCTTATACGCAAGGTTGTCGCATTCTTTGCGCGCGCATCATACGTCAACTTGTCATCTCAGTCTTCCAACATCACCATGTCAGAACCAACAGAACCACCGCCTCTATCTATCGAGATCCTAACCGATCCAAAAGAAAAGAAAGATGCTCTCAAACTCATCGCCGACAGTGTCGCGCAACAGCGTCAAACAGCATCACGCGCCATGATCTTCCACCCAATCCCCCTCTCTGTCTTTATCGCCATTCTTGCGATCGCACACTATGGCGCAGGCATTGGCAAAGACATCAGCACCATGCTAATCATCTACCCCGGTATAATACTCACTTACCTGGTCGCAATTCGATATTTCACCAGTGCGTACATTCGCATCGCTGAGGAGACCAACTGGCTTGACTGGATGAAGAAGGATGGTGTTGAGGACACCATCATCGGAGCGCGCTTTGGCAAGGACATCATCGCTGCAGTGGTCCTTCGATTGGAGAAGAGCAGCAAGACTGCCTTCGTTCGTGCATGGACAACGAGAGCGCGGTACAGACGGCGAGGACTTGGTGGCGATGTGCTACGCGAGAGTGTCAAGATCGCGAAGCAGAAGTTGGGCAAGGGGTGCACCATTGAGTTCGCGCAAGATCATGCAAACAGCGAGATGCCTCTCCATGATCTCTTCAATGCTCCTTTCCTTGCGCGACAAATGAAAGCCAAGAAGGCGCTCAGTGCAGCACTGAAGGACTGGGAGGATGGCAAAGAGGGGCCTCAATAGCGACGAGAGTTGAGTTTGTATAAAAGTAACGTACGTTCACTCGCTCGCCCGCCTCGAATCACTAGTCGCTAACATGAAGCAGATATTCTTCATACTGCATGTGATGGTGCGCGATGCGATCCTATCTGCTTGACTGAAGTCTGGTCGACTACAACCCCTCGTACCCTGTGACGATTCCGCTCAGAGTCCGCGCAACCGGCTGCGTCTGTCCAAACCGGTGCCTCAAGATAGCAAAAGCTGAGATTACGCCAGCAATGGAGCCAAAGTACTTTCCGTCGCTGCCACTTTCGCCCTTCCAGCTTCACGTCTGATGTTGCAGGGAAAAGCAGTATACTTGACGCCCATTCACTGTACAGGCCGTATCACCTTGCATCTTGCGACCCAGCCGCCATTATCCTCGGCGTATTTGATGATTTACAGTTTAGAAGTGTTGCTCCTCGTTATGCGCTGAGTGCAGTGCCGAAATGAACAATGCAACATACCCAATTGCCGACGATCATGGGCCATCGCTCTTGTGACCACCCAAAGATTATAATAAGAGCAAGATCTCCCGAAATTACATATCAAACAAATACGGCCTGCTCCTCGTGTCTTCCAGTGTTTTGTGTTGTCCCTGGATAAATGCGACCGTCGATGTTGTGGGCTTCTTGATAAGGTATCATCTGTAGGTGTCACTACGGACGACGGCCCTGCAAATGCAATCCCTGGGTAGAATGCTTCCAACGAAGTATGTCCAATACTGTGCATTGAGTCCAGAAAGTTCTGAAATTGACCCTTTGGCATACAAGTATTGCT